ACCGGATTTGATTGCTCCCGGTGTCAACATCCTCGCGGGATGGACCGACGCTGTCGGCCCGACCGGTTTGGATTCCGATACGAGGAGAACCGAGTTCAACATCCTGTCTGGCACTTCCATGGCTTGCCCTCACGTCAGTGGCGCCGCGGCTTTGCTCAAATCCGCGCACCCTGATTGGAGTCCCGCCGCCATTAGGTCCGCCATGATGACCACCGCCACCGTCCTCGATAACCGTAACCAGCTCATGACCGACGAAGCCACCGGGAACAGTTCCACTCCTTATGATTTCGGCGCTGGCCATCTTAACCTCGGACGAGCCATGGATCCTGGCTTGGTCTATGACATCACCAACAATGATTATGTTAATTTCCTCTGCGGTATTGGTTACGGGCCCAAGGTTATTCAGGTGATCACTCGCGCGCCGGCGAGTTGTCCGGTGAGAAAGCCGTTGCCAGAGAATCTGAATTACCCTTCCTTTGTTGCCATGTTTCCAGTTTCGTCCAAGGGGATGGCGTCCAAGACTTTCATTCGGAGCGTGACGAACGTGGGGCCTGCGAACTCTGTTTACCGCGTGAGCGTGGAGGCGCCGGCCAGTGGGGTGACCGTGACGGTGAAGCCATCGCGGTTGGTGTTCTCGGAGGCGGTGAAGAAGCGGAGCTATGTGGTGACGGTGACTGGGGATACCCGGAGTCTGAAGATGGGTCAATCCGGGGCGGTATTCGGGTCGCTTACGTGGACAGATGGGAAGCACGTGGTTCGGAGCCCCATTGTCGTTACTCAAATAGAACCGTTATAAAGCTTCGATCACGTGGTTTTGATCGAAGCGGCGCGTGACTAGTGACGGAAGTGGGTGACGCTGGTACAACTTGCCACGACTAGTATAAGACAACAGTCAACAGAAATGTTTTGTATTTTTTTTTTAATTATTAATTTAGGATGTGTTTGGTTATATTAAAATTAGAGTTAATATTTTATTGTATGTTTTTAATAAGTTTTTTTTAGTTTAATTTCACCTTTATATTTTTAGATTCTTAGAGTTCTATCCATACCCTATAAAATTATAGAATAAATTATAATTTGTTTTGTGATATTTATTAAGTTGCCATTGTTTTCTTTCAATTACATTAATAAAAAATGTTTTTCTATTAAGTTATTTATAATTATAATCTTATTTTTTCTACTCGTTATTATTACCTACGTTAAAGATAGCATTAACTATGAGAGGAACCTGGTTTTGCATGTCTAATATAGAGGACTTTTATCCCCTCCTCTCTGGATTCTGTTTTCCTTTCTTAGATGTGGATGTTAGAACATAATAACGAAATAAATTATAGTAAGAAAATATTGGACGAGAGAATCTTGACTAACATTTCATATTAAAATTTAATTACCTTTAAATATTTAAAATTTGTGGTCTTTGTTAATAAAATCGTTTTAAAAATATTTGAAACCAAGACATAGATGGTCAAAGAGTTTAAACCTAAAAAGGAAGACCCATGATCATTTATCTTTTATAATTGAAGTTCTTTATTCTTGTCTTTAGCTTTTTAATGTTCTACTTATAGCATGGTTTTGACTGGGATTGTCTTCGTCAAAATACTTTTATATTTTATTTATTTTCTTAATTTATATTTCTTTAAAGTCTTCTTTTAAAAGAAAATCACAGCTAGTACTAATTTTCTTCATAAATTCACACGAGTTTGTGATTTTTTAAAAATTTATTCTTATTTAATTTTGAAATAAAAAAAATCATGTTTAAAAAATAAATGAATTTTCTGATATCTGTATTTAATTAAAAAAGACATATGACACCATACTTAGATATTGTTTTTTGAAGGCATTGATTGGTTTACAGTTCACAATGACAGAGCAGCAGAGCCCGGAGTAATGAACAAAGGCCAATGGTAAGATAACTTCGTCTTTATGTTCAATTCACTGCCACAAATTGTTTTTTAGTTTATAATTTTTTTTCTCATTTTTTATATAATTATTTTTTTCACCTTATTTAGTTTCTCAACAGGTAGTTTATATACTATTTTTTTTCTTAATTTACTTTAGTTTTAAAATAAATAATACCTCACTTCACCTTAGTAATACTCTTATAATATATATAGTACTGAAATAATATCCCATTAAATTTTTATTATTTTACACCTTTTAACTTCTAATTTTTATATATTTTCCAAAAATCTGAAATAAATATACACCCTAAAAACGAATATAATAACGGATACTCTCGTTCAATATTTCTTTAAATTTTTATTATGTTGCACCTTTTTAACTTCAATTTTTTATAGTATATTTTCTAAAACTGTAAAATAAATATACACCCTAAAGGGGACATGACGCCGGTGTACCTTTTTAACTTCTATTTTTTATAATATATTTTCTAAAACTGTAAAATAAATATACACCCTAAAAGAGTAAATAAAAAAAACTTCCCATCATAAATTATATATAATTTCCTACTGTTTTTAATATAATTTCCCACCTTAAAAAACTTCTCATCACTGCTTTTAATATAATTTCTTACTGTTTCCTTAATATTTTATAATTCTTTTCTGATTATTTTTAAAATTGTTTTTTATTAGCATTCTGATAACTGGAATTTTAATTATACTAATTAAATTAATTGATTTTGATTATTTTAAAAAATGTGGACATTCTATCTGTATTTGTAGTAGTTTAATAACATATATTGGCACATTAAATTCTGGTAATTAGTTTCAAAGAGAATAATTATGATAGATAACATGCAGGTTCCATAATCAACTAACAATTTTCCAAAGAGAATATGATTTATTGTGGAATATATTGATGCTTGATATGTAAACAGAAGAATATGTGATTCCAAAACAACTTCTGATAAGAAAAGCACCTTATGTTATTGGAACATTGCCTTCTAATCAACAACCTTTATTCCTTACCTAACTAAAAATTACTAACATTTTCATCAGCCAAAAATAATAAATATTAATTATTATTGGTTGTGAGATTAAAATGTGATTTAACTTTCAATAACAAGAGACTAAATACTTTATATGACTTCTACAATTCAAAATTGGTGTAGCCTGTGAAAGATGCAGCTTAACGCGTGGGCTTCTTTGGGCTTGTTCTTGCGTCCAACGTGGGTCTTGCCTGTAACTCCATAATTTCTCCCTACAACTCCATATTCCAAATTAAATATCAAAAATATTTTTTTCATAAATTTATTTTTTATCCTAATTCCTTCTTATTCTATTTGTTCACAACTTTTTCACCTCCATCCCCGGTAACTCCATCCTTTGACTATTTGATTTATTTGTGTTATCATTCCCATTGAAAATATTTTCTAACAATTAAAGGTAAGTAATCGTTAATATTATGTACGAATTATATGTTTTTACACTAAAATTATATAAACAGATCCAATTTGTTCAATCTAAAATAGTATTATGGAAATAATATTAAATTTTAGATAAAAACTAATCTAAAAATACATTTCGAATTGAGTGTTCAAAATGTATTTCTAAAAAATTCAATCCAAAAATATATTTCGGATTAAGTGTTCTAGAAATACATTTTGGAATGGATGTTTATGGAATGTGTTTCCAGACAATATTTTTCATAAATATATTTCGGATTAAATATTGTGGAATGTGTTACTGGAAAGCATTCTGAGTATAAGGGTTTCATATAATTATGGGGGTGGGGGGGTGGGGGGGGAATTATGGAAGTGCACGAAACAACAGCCCTCCAATGTTTTTAATTTGGGCTGAAGTCCAGTTGTGCGGGCCTTTAATACGAACCTGAAAAGATAATGTACCTTTCCATGTAGTTCATTTATTCCATAAAATGATAATATATATATATATATTAAATAAAAATTATTCAAATTAACAAAATTATTAACAAAAAAAAACATATTGTACGAGTTAAAAAATTAGGAACAAGTAAAATGTAAATTATTTAAATAATTTTTTTAAATAATAGGAAATGGAGAATACAATTTACCTTAAAAATTTTCAATACTATCACTTACTTGATTTAGTTCATTTACACAAAATATATGATACAAAAGAATGCTAAAAATGTTAAACAAAATTAAAACTACTAAAAGCAACTAGATCAGAAGAACAAAAATTATGAGTAAATAAAATGGGAATGATTATCCAAAGGAAAGTATTATGCAAATTTTCGGAACAAAATAAAATTGAGAGATAGAGTGGATTAAAAGAAAGAACCAGAGGCAGGTTCATAAAATTCTACAAGAGAAATAGAAAGTATGTATCTTGAAATTTCTTATATAAATACTCAGATTACGAATAATCATATAAAAAAACATATCACTATTAGACATTAAAGTTATGAGACTCTTTTATTTTTATGTTGCTCAATTAATTTTTTTCGTTTAATATGAAATTTAAATTTATTATTGAAATGTAGAAAGGAAGAATTGTTTAAGGTAAGAAATTGTTATTTGAAGTATTTTCAATTTTAATGCCTAAAGTTGCTTATTTTTTTTAAGTTATTTTTTAATTAGTTGTCTCTTAAAAATAAAAGTAATATTTTTTATCTATATTCAAAATAAGTCTAAATTAAAAATAAATGAAATTATAAATTATTTGAAGTTTTTTAGAAATGAATAAAATTAAATGTAAATTATTTAATGATTCCGTAATACAATAAAAAAATATCACATTAATAAATTGCTTTCATAGGATATACTGAGTTGGGCCAATTGGGCCTTGAAACACTCAAGGCCCAGTGAACAGAATTGCATTGTATGGAATCTGGACTGTTCTGAGTTGATTCCTTGATTTCTTAAACAGAAAGTAACTGTAATCAATCGTTCAGCACCGCGGTTGTTACACGTATTCCCCACATCCACGTGTTTAGTTTTCCGCGGCATGTCGGTTTTGTTTTGCTTACATAACTTATTATGTTGTTTTATCCAACCAAGTAACGGTATATATAGATAGATATTCATAATCTTGTGTCTTCGTTCTTCACTTCAAAGCATGTTTCAACAAAATTCATTCTACCCACAAGTTGATTCAACAAATCCCAACGCTGATTCTCCATTTTCTCACCCTTCATCGTCATCTTCTTCCATTTATCCTTCAGTGGAAACAGAAAATCTCGTTCGGGAAGAGCCAAACAACACACAAGCCATGGAAAACGTTCTCGTCACGGTTCAGGGTGCGATTCTGCATCTCATAGAAAAGGATTCCAGCGTGCATCTTGCTTCGGGGGACCTAACCATATCGAGCCTCGGAGAAGGGGGCAAAGTAGTGGCGGTTCTCGCTTGCGTGGGTGATAAGGTTCAGTGGCCGTTGGCCAAGGACGTGGCGGCGGTGAAGCTGGACGAGTCGCACTACTTCTTCACGCTGCAGGTCCCACAGAAGCACGCGGAGAACGGATTTGAGGTGTTGAATTATGGGTTGACGGTGGCAGCGAAGGGGCAAGAGAGGGTGCTGAAGGAACTGGACGAGGTTCTGGAGAAGTATAGCTTTCTGTCGAAGGAGAAAGTGAAGGGTGCGAGTGGATGGGAGGTGTTGGATGGTTCAGTGTCAACAAAGACATCACCTGAAGAATTAAAATCAGAAGAGAAGAGGGAAGTGGTGGAGGAGCGTTCTGGCGCTTATTGGACGACGTTGGCGCCAAACGTGGAGGACTACAGCGGGCGTTTTGCGAGATGGATTGCTGCAGGGTCGGGGCATGTTGTTAGGGGGATTTTGTGGGCTGGGGATGTGACTGTGGAGAGGTTGAAGTGGGGGAATGATTTCTTGAAGAAGAGATTGGAGCCTGGTTCCAACGCCCAGATTAGTCCTCAGGCCATGGAGAATATGAAAAGGGTTAAGAAGTTGACCAAGATGTCAGAGAAAGTTGCCACTGGTGTCCTCTCTGGGGTTGTCAAAGTGTCTGGCTTCTTCACAAGTTCTGTAGTCAACTCAAAACCTGGAAAGAAGTTCTTTAGCCTTCTTCCCGGAGAAATTGTCCTTGCTACCATGGATGGATTCAGTAAGTTCTATTATTATGTTATAGCTGTTTTTTGGGTTCAGTGCAGTATTTTGATTATGATGTGTGCATGAAAGGAAGGATTTTATTTTTTAATTTTGTCAAATTTTTTTGGTGGTGTGATGTGCAGATAAGGTGGTGGATGCTGTAGAAGTAGCTGGGAGGAATGTCATGTCTACTTCATCAGTTGTGACCACTGAGCTCGTTTCACATAAGTAAGTTCATTTCTTCAAAATAATTTCTCATTTATTCAAGTATTCATCTCATCGGGCCTCAGTGAGATAAGACGTTTGCCTGAAATCTGACACTTATCAAACCAATGGTTGGTAGTGACATTGGGGATTGATTACACTGACACTTGTTTGATTTTAAGATTGGACTAGCGCTTGTATCTTTAGGTTGTTTGTAATTAATCGGTGCAAGAAGAATCTTGAGCCTTCTTGATGATTGATCATTTCTTTCCATTTCCTTTTTGGTTATGTCAGGTATGGAGAGCAAGCAGGCCAGGTTACAAACGAAGGTCTCAACGCGGCAGGGCATGCGATTGGGACAGCTTGGGCAGTGTTCAAACTTAGGAAGGCACTCAATCCGAAGAGTGTGATCAAGCCAACAACACTAGCTAAAGCTGCTGCTGAAGCAAATTCTGCTAAACTGAAGGCTAAGAAATAAGCCTTGGCATCAAAAGAATCAGACACCCTTTATAATATAGACTACTTACGTCATGTATTTTTTTTATGATAATGATGTTCGGGAAAAGGAACTAATAGTGTTTGTTACATTTTTTTGTTTTTTATATTTTTTATTTATTGAAGTTCAACTGTTTACTCACCAAATTTGCGATATTGAATCCCAGTTATTTTCCCCTTATTGCCTACTGATATCAATTGCTTACTGAGATACTAATATTAATGAAACTTGAAAAGAAACCTCAAATTTAAGGAATGATATCAGAGGGGTAGAACAAGAGTGACACAGCTGAAGAAATAAAATGGCACAAAAGAAATACCAGGGACTGAGAAGATTACAAGTAATATGACTAATGAAATAACACGTTCAATGGCTTTTATACCTTGTAACTTCAAAATAACACACGCAGACTTATACCTCCAAATCTGAGGTATGATATTTCCAAAGTCCAATTATCATTTTCGTTCTAAAATCTAGCTGCTCCAACAACAGCAGACAGATGGAGAGCATATATTTTAGTTGCACAAACTAAATTATGATTAATCATATGCTTAAACACTGGTATTTGTGAAGAACTCATTTTCACTTAATAACTAGTTTTGAATGGCTTGTAAGTTTTGAGGTCCAAAACCACCCCGGCCATGGAACCAATGGCAGCAAATAACGAAATAATGAGGCAACTAACACTAAGTAACTGAAGTCCAATCCATCGACTAGTCCATCGTCCAATCTTCTTTTGCGAAATATACATGTCAATAGGGAAATAAACTGTTAAGGGCCAGAACCCAAAAGCGCCAAGTATTCCAACCACGTCGTTGAAAAAAGGCATGAGCATAGCTATGAGGGTCGTCAACAACACAAAAATGGTTCTCCATACCAAGCGGAAGAAGTTTAGTTGGTACACCCCATAGAAGGGAACCGGTATGTCATATTCTGCCGTGACAAAACCACTTTTTGGCCATTTACGTGCACTCCATTTTTCCACAAATGCAAATAAAGGCTGGGAAAAAACCTGGAATAATAATATATACAGTTCATAAATAGTTATAAATATACGGAATGATCAACTATAAGCTGTATTTAATTTTCTTATTTTCTTTATTTTACTAGTCTATCGTTATCTGCTTAGAAGATTTTGTTAGGATCGACAAAATTCTTCCGTCAGTCAGTATGTAGAGGATTTCACTACAGAAAACTAACCCTGAAGGATCATATATGATATAGTACCTGGTATGCCCCAACTAGGTGCACAACAATTGCAAGGTTGGCAATGTCCAGAAGCCAATAAGGGTCATAGAACCCAAAACCGGTTAAGAGGTTTCCAGGTGCATTGTCTCCGAAGGCTGCATATCCCGTGCATCCACAGAGTAAATAGAACACTGTGGTAACTGCTATGCTCAACGTTGTGGCCTTTCTCATGGTCTTGTGCTCTGCAGGTGGAGATTTTATGGTGTCCTGCAACAGAGCCATAATGTTTTCTTAATTTCTCATGTAGTATTTTTAATTGTGTGAGGAATACGTATTATCATGATAGCACATATCTGAGTTACCTGAATTTCGATGAGGATAATGGAAAAAGAGTATGCAAAGGCCATTGCCCCCAGAGCTTGTAAACTCCTCCAGATTTTCTGTGTGCTTGTTACTATTCCAGCTTGTGTCACTGCGCCAATGCTGATTCCCAACATACTTCCTTTAAAAGTTTTATTTTCTGCAAGATGAAAAACAAACTGAGAAGTTGCACGGACAAGTAAACAATGGTTCATCGCTGACATATTATATATCTGCTTGCACCTGCTACTTTGGCCACGCCAAGACTCAATCCAACTGAAGAATAAGTGAAGGACATGATAGCTGCAACGATGGATAGCCACCACATCTGATCAAAATCTGGGATTTGGGAAAAAATCACTTCTGCTATTCCAAATGTCATCATATATCCATTGCTTGACATGTGGCAGGGATCTTTTCCATGACTGTTATGATAACAATTCGACCTTTTTATGGCCCTGAGAAGTCACAGGCAGAAAGGTCAAGAATGAAATATCACAAATATAGTTAATCAAGTGAAGGTCAATTTTTAAGTTGGATGCAAACATCTTTCGTTCAATTAGGTAAAATGTATCCATGTTCCAGCTAGTTAATTCATTTTACTTGTAGAGCAAGAGAATAACTGAAGTCACCAAGGATTGAATTGAACTCACATCATGCTGACAGAAGCAGCAATGGTATACCCTATTGCAATTCCAAACAGATTGACATATTGGATCAAGCCACATAACTTGACCTTTTTTCCCCCTGAAACCCAAAAAGAATGGCATGAAAGTTTCAGAACAACACATTGGTCTCTTGTGGTTACATATGTAGTAATGGAATGTTCTTAATGCTCTTACCCAAGATGGAGTTTACTGCCTCCATGTAGGTGTAATTTCTCTGCCCATTAACTGAGTCACCCGTCCTATAACACTGTGTTAGTAGGCTGGAAGTGTAGAGATTGACCAAAGCAAAGAGAAACATGACAACAGGTCCAGCAACCCAACCAAGCTGAGCTACTGCCCATGCTAGAGAAAGAACTCCAGACCCTATCACAGCAGTGATGATATGAGCAGTTGCCGTCCAAAATGTTCCTGCAATCACAAACACAACATTCTTGGTCACTTCCACGTACTTCTTCCTTCAGGATTGCTTACTGCTACAGCTTTATGTGAACCCTTCAGGATTGCTTATTGCTATACCTTTATGTGAACGTGGCTTCAAGAGACAATTTTTTAGGCGTTTTGTATCGGTCTGGATAAAAAAAAAATGTCGATTTTATCGAAGGGTCGAGTTAATTAAATTTTTTTTTAACAATTTTGAGAGTTATATGGTACTTGAAAATACACTTTTAAAATGGTAGTACAATTTTTTTAAAATGAAATTTTTATTTTTTAAACATATTATTTATTAAATAATTATTTTTAATTAAATTATTAATTTAATAAAAAATAAAAATATTTAGACAAATATAATTAAATTTAATTAAATATATATATATATATATTAAAATATTACATTATTTTAAAAAAATACAAGTTTATTATCAAAATTAACAATTTGTATGTTATTTATTTTAATAAAAGAAATATTTTCTTTTGTTTATTTTTAATGTGTATATCAATTTCATTTCATATCTCTTTAATTGTAATAATCTTTCTTATATATCTTTTGTCAAAATAAAATGATTATACAAATTAGAAATAAATAATTTTTTTTGTCAAAATAAATGATATAATTATATAAATTGTCTATTTCCATAATAAATTTATATATTTTTTAAATAATATAATATTTTAATATAAATATAATGAATTAAATTTAATTGTGTTTGTGTAAATATTTTTTATTTATTAAATTAATAATTGAATTAAAAATAATTATTTAATAAATAATACATTGTAAAAAATAAAAAAGATCTTATTTAAAAAAAAATTATGAAAAACTCGTGATAAGTATAATGAATTTAGTATAATAGCATTCATCCATAACTCGTACTACTAAGCATATTTTAAAAAATAAATACATATAAAAAGCAATTGAAATCGTGTTTGGAAAAGTGTGCTTTAGTAAAATCAATTTTTTTACCTAATATGGTAAAAAATCCCAATTTTTTACTTTGTAGCATTCTACCCTACATACTTACTTTCTCAAATATAAATTCAATTATCCTGTAACGTACTAAATTTTTAAAGGATCACTATATTTCTAGACGAGTTTTACTTACCCACAGCCATAATTTAAATATAAATATAAATAGTAAACTACAACGACATATTTAAAAATTTAGCTAATTAATATATATAGTTATTAAATCATCTAACTTTTTTTTTTTTTATCTTACTTTCCTCGTCCATTAGTTCTGCCTGTCTTGGATCATGATAAGGGAAAAGAAAATATGGTTGAAAGAATATATCAAATTCATGTATGTAATTTAATAGCACCTGCTCTGAAATTAATCTACCATAGTTTTGATATAAAGTTAAGCTATAACCTGTTCTCTTCAAGCGACCATCATCATCGAAGCAGTTGGAATAGTTAGGCTGAATATTCATAGCTTCACTCTCCGTTTGAGTATTAGGTCGCACTTCTACTTGTAAGTAGTGCCTAACATCATGCCTTTCTTCTATCTGTTGTAAACGATTGACATCAATCAACAACTCAGCGTAAATAAATACAAAATAAAAGCAGCAAAAACATATGACAGTTAAATATAGTTCCTACAATTCCTTGGTGAATTCTGCTAGGAAGGGTTCTACTTCTAGGCAGCATGGCTGTGAACGATTTGTGACTGATACTGAGTGCGAGTCAGGGAGGGAAAACTACGAAGAAAGGTGAAGGATGTTGCAGGTAGCATCAATTGTCCTGTGACGAAGGTCAGGTGGGCCGAGTCACAATTGAATCGTGGCGCTTGGGCTGTTAAAGTAAAAAGAGTTGCGCTCTGACTAATGGCTATAGCTTTTGGCCTAGTGGTAAGCGCTCGATCCTAACAATTGGTATCGGAGCCGAGGTCACGAGTTCGATTCCGGTGGGCAATTGTTGAGGGGAGATTGTTGCAGGTTGCACAATTGTCCCGTGGCGAGGCCGGTGGGCCAAGTCACAATCCAAGAGTGGGATACCTTGTAGGACAATTGCTGAGGGGGAGATTGTTGCAGGTAGCATCAATTGTCCTGTGACGAAGGTCAGGTGGGCCGAGTCACAATTGAATCGTGGCGCTTGGGCTGTTAAAGTAAAAAGAGTTGCGCTCTGACTAATGGCTATAGCTTTTGGCCTAGTGGTAAGCGCTCGATCCTAACAAAGGAATGCTTCTAAATGATGAAAGTGAATGGGGATTTATAGGAAAAGACTGTGCCTATATACAGTCCACGAATTACACGTTTCCATTGATAGTTATGAATAACATTTTCACTAAAGGTTTTACTGATTATTCTGGTGTATGGCAAGGATAATTTCAGCTTGCAATCAATGCATATTTGGACCCTAAGTGGGAACATGTCGCTTGTGTTGAGATAGCAAACTGCCACTTAAGAGAGTGCATGGATGAATGGGACCATGAGATTATCGAATAGAAACGTATTAATATATATCATATCTAAGAAGATAAGAAAAGAAAAATCTAGGTGCTGCTGATATGTAGCTTTTTTTGTCATTTGGTTTCTCAGGCAATAGGACATTATCTGTACGGTCTCTGCTTTACATTATTACATATTTTATAACAGTAGCTTGTGTTAAGAACAGTGACCAAAATTCATCTGATTAGATATGATGATATCTAAATCACTTTCTAAGTATTTATCATTAATAGATAATGGTGCATTTGAGATAATATTCGATAATAATTTAATAATCCTGCAAGGTCTTTTTTAATTCGAAAATCATTTTTTAAAACACTTTTTTTCTTATTTATAGGTAAAATAATTTTTCAACCAAGTCTCTAGCTCTTCCGCTCTGTAACTAATGTAACAATAACATAGATACTAAAAAAATAACGACAATAGCAACACAATAAAGAGGTAATAACATTATTTTATTCAAAGGTTCATAACAACCCATAATTCAAAACATAAAAAAATAAGGAAAAGTGAATCATCCAGAGATGAATTCAACAACTTTCCCTTTCCTTTCTCTTCTAACGGTTTTACCCTTTTAAACCCTTGCTGTTAGGTCACGTAGTCCTTCAACCACACACTCTCCCTCTTAGATCGTGTGCTTTTTTTGCTGTCCCTGTTATCATCCACGTGTTTCCCTTTCATTGGCTTGTCACTAATGGTATTCAACCCATTTTCTATCTGCACCCTCATTACATTACTCCCTCCATCGAAATCAACCTTGTCCCCAAGGTTGAAATGAGGGTAGGCCCATACAATATGCATATTATCTTTCCAAGTGGCTTCTTTTGGGGATCCATTCTCCCATTGCAATAAAGATTGTTGTACCTATTGCTCACCTCGAATGATTGTCCTGGACTTTAAAACAACCACTGGTTGAATCAGAAGAGGAATCTCACTATCACAAATTGGCAAGAAATATATGGCTGATCATGTTGACCACGACATAACTTCAGTTCGAAATGTGAAAAACTGGATGGATCTTCGCTGATGGAGGTAACTGAAGTTTGTAAGCCACCTTCCCGATTCGATCTATCACCTTAAAGGGATCGAAGTACCAAAGGCCTAATTTTTTTATTTTTGCGCAAGGCCAATGAATGTTGTCTATATGGCTATAGTTTCACCAGAACTAAGTATCCAACATGTAATTCCACCTCCAGGTGCTTTTTATCTGCATATTTCTTCTGAACTTGCTGAGCTCGCTGCAAATTGAACTTGAGCTTTTGCAGTATGTCATCCCTGGATAATAATCGTTCCTGAACTGAGAGAGGGTCGTCAGCTTTAGGAACATATTTGAGTATCTTCGGGGGATCTCTCCCATACACAACTCTAAATGGAGTCATACCCGTGCTTGTATGATATGATGTATTATACTAATATTTCACTCATAACAACATCTTAGAGCACTCCCTTGGTGCATCAAAAGTAAAGCAACGTAAATACAATTCTAGACATTTATTAAGAATCTTTGATTGGCCATCTGATTGGGGATGATAAGCGGATGACATCTTGAGTGTAGTACCACTGAAATGTCATAGAAACTTCCAGAATTGACTAGTAAAAACTTCGTCTCTGTCCGATACTATGGATTTGGGTAATCCATGTAATTTGAATATGTTCTTGACAAATAGTTCAGCCACTGGTTTGCTAGTGAAGTCCTATTTCATAGGAATAAAGTGGGACGCCTTAGATAACCTATCAATAATGGCACAAATTACGGTGAAGCCATGAGATATAGGAAGGCCTGTAATAAATTCCATGGCCAAGTCCTCCCAGATCTGGTCTGGAATTGGCAGTGGCTGGAATAAGCCAACGGGTAGCGTAGTGGCGACCTTAGCTTGTTGATAAACTAAACATTGCTGAACATAGGTTTTGATGTCGTGGGACATCCCTTTCTAGTAGAACTATGCGACAATTCTCGCTAACGTTCGAGAAACACCTGCATGTCCTCCTATGACTAAACTATGAAACTCGTTCAGTATAGTTTGAATTAACTCATGGCCCACTGGAATTACAATTATGTTTTTCCATAATAACAACCCTTGATGTATACCATAATTAGGATCACCACCCGAGTTGTTAATGTATGCATTAATCAAGGTCTGAATGTCCCTATCTGTATCTTGTGCTTGTTGCAATTTAGTCACCAGTGTAGGTACTGCTTGAGAACAAGCTGCATAAATGACCTGGAAAGTGCATCCACTGGTATATTGTCTTTTCCCGACCTGTATTCTATAGAAAACTCATAACCAAGTAGCTTGTGAAACCATCTTTGTTGCTCTGACGTTTGTAAGTTTTGGTCCATTAAAGTTCTCAAGCTTTTCTGGCTTGTTTGAAGTACAAATTTGTGACCGAGGAGATAGTGTCTAATTTTGGCCACAACTTCCGTTAAAGCATATAATTCCCTTACATAAGTTGATTGTCTTTGCATGGCAGGCGACACTTTTTTGGAAAAATAAGCAATCAGGTGCTTGTTCTGCGTCAAAATCGCCCAAATACCCATTTCAGAAGCATCAGTTTCTAATTGAAAGGGTAGGGAAAAATCTGGTAAAGCCAAGACGGGACCTTGTGTTAAAGCTGTTTTCAAAGTATTAAAAGCATTTTCAGCGGCTTCAAACCAGTGGATGTTGTCCTTTTTCAATAATTGTGTGAGTGGACCCACCAATGTTGCATAATGTTTGATAAATCTTCTATAGTAGCCCGTCAATCCAAGAAAACCTCGTAATTGCTTGAGATTTTTAGGTAAGGGCCAAGTCATGACAGCTTTGATCTTGCTCTCCTCCATTGCAATGCTTGCTGTCGAAACCGTGTGGCCTAAATAGTCCACCGGCGGTTGGCCAAGTGAGCATTTAGAGAATTTGGCGTAGAGTTTGTTTTGCTGTAACAGTTGCAGGAAGTTCTCCAAATGTTGTAAATGCATGGACCATGATGGACTATAAACCCAGATGTCATAAAAAAGACCAAAACATACTTCCTGAGTAGTTTTTGGAAAATATCATTCATGAGAGCCTGAAATGTTGTCGGTGCATTGGTTAGCCCAAAGGGCATCACCATCCATTCGTATAAGCCTTGATGTGTTCTAAAGGAAGTTTTATACCTGTCATCGTCATGCATCAAGATTTGATGATAGCCAACTCTTAAATCCAATTTGGAAAAAAATTGAGCTCCATGGAGCTCTTTAATCAATTCATCCATTATAGATATTGAGAAGCTATCCTTCTTAGTAATTGCATTCAATGCCCTATAATTGGTACAAAATCTCCATATACCATCTTTCTTTTTGACCAATATAATTGGAGAAGAGAAAGGGCTAGTGCTTGGCACAATTATGCCCGCTTGCAGCATCTCCTGAACCATATTTTCAATTTGCTGCTTTTGGCTAAATGGGTATCGATATGGCCTCACTTTAACTGGATTTGAACCTTGTAATAAAGGGATGATATGTGTATGAGATCTGTGGGGAGGAAGACCACTTGGCTCAGCAAAAGCCTCTTTATAGGTATGTAGCAACAGAGCTATCTCAAGCTCCATATCAACTGGTAATTCGAGAAACTGATCTTGTGCAGTGCTAGAGTTTTGAAACTAAAGACAATACACTTCCTCAACAGCCTTCGTGTGAAACATTCTCCTGAAGTGATTAAACTGAGCTGGCGTTGGTAGCTTTGGTTGTTCTCTTCGCAAGGTTACAAATTTATCATTTAGCATGAATTTCAATGATAACTTGCTATAGTCGGAAATATGAGCTCCTATTGTTGCTAACTAGGAAGCTCCCAAGACCAAATCTGTATCGGATATAGGGAGTAAGAATGCTGGTATTTGAATTGTGTGGTTTTGGATGTTTACATTTAAGTTTTTTATGAGTCCCTCCACCACCAAAGCACTTCCATTACCCACCATAACATTAAAATTGTCAACTGGTTCCACTGGTAGCTTAAGAAAAGTAGCAATTCTAGGTTGCAAAAAATTATTTGAACTTCCACTATCCAAGAGAATCTAAATTGGTAGTCCATTAATAACCCCCTTAAATTGCATAGTGGTATTATCATCAGAGCCCTTAAGGGAATTAAATGACAAGTGTGGTTTGGGAGGAGGTTGAGGGTCAATATTGTCCTCCAAAACACTTACCACAAGTGTTGAATCAGCTGCCGAATCGTCTTCGTTAAG